CCTCAAAACTATCTCTTATCTTCTGCATTCTCCTACTTTAATTACTTTATTACTAACTCCAAATTTTTTTTCAGCATTGAAATATAAAAGTTAAATCTTAACATACACTCATGCATTAGTAAATTTCAAAATTCCTAATATTAATAGCTGAGACAGGCATCCAATAATAAATGTTATGATTACAAATGTCCTGTTAGCAGACTTAACCCTGCATGGATATTTTTTTTACTCTTCCCAATTAAATTTGAAGGTAAAAAATCTCCATTGTTTCAGTTCCTATTTATATTTTATTTCACTTCACAGCATTGCTCTGCAGTGTCTTTTGCAGTGTCCCCAGTGACACTGTTAAAGCTTTGACTTGGTATTTAGCACAGAAGCCAGCAGAGAACTGTGTCAGATCAAGCATGAAAAATGTAAGGATTGATAACCATTTCAGACAGGTGAACAATGAGAATACCTAATTTTCTGTTGCAACACAATATTTTAGCTCATCCCAGAAACAGCTGCCAGTGCAAGAGTGAAGGAGGTTTTGAAATGTTTAGGCTTTTCCAAAAAAAAAGGATCCAATAACATTCAGTTTAGCTGTTTCAATAGTCAGAATCCTCATACTGCTAATAAGTTTAACTGATCAATGGCTTTCTGCATGCAAGCATTTTGCTCATAAGATGTATTTCCGCTAATTTCTTTCTTTACGGCTCTCATCCAAATTAAGATTGTTCAAACTGAAATCAACAGAGAAAGATGTGTGATATTTTAGTGTTTGTGTATCTGCAGTGATGTCCAGCTTACCGTAGTAGCGGCTCGCCCTCCAGGCCCTGACGGCACAGTGTAGGACTCCGTCCAACCACAGCAGCAGCCAGCTAATGCAGAAGCCCAGCAGCAGCCCCAGCATCAAGTCCATCTCCTGCTTGGTCACACTGTCACTCACAAAGTAGTTCTCTGATGAGTCCACCAAGGAATGGTCCCCATCATATGGGATTACATAGTGGACATGATGTCTGGAGGGAGGACAGATAGGGAGAGGTGATGGATGAGTTAGATAAACTGATAACAAAGATCTAAATCCATTTTATGTCCTTAAAGCAACATATAATTATCTGAATTAAAGCTACAAATTAACATTTCATAGTCATCTCTAACTGTATTGAATCAAAGGAAAAACCAACAACCTCAGTGCACATTATTCTCTGATCTTCCTGGTGAGATGAAGAGCATTGTTACAGAATGTTTTCCCACGTTTGGTGTTTTCACGATGCTGGTGGAGAGCTCTGTGTGGCACATTGCTCAAGAATCCCTTCAGATTGTTTGGTTTCATTGAGATCTGGTGACTGTGAAGGCTGTAATTTATGATCATTTTCTTACTCACTTAATCTTACTCACTAATCCAATTTAAAAGCATCTTCATTTTTTACGTTTCTCATTTCATTTATTCAGGTGTTTGCTTTAATTTACCACTTGTCTTTACATCCTTACTTTGAAAAGGGACTTTTCCAAATGTTCTTTAACACTGAGTACCATGGACATCATTGGACTAAATACTCTATAGTGTTTCACATACTGCCTCTACCTCAGATGGTACCTGAAAATATTGAAATTTTGATCAGATTGCACTAATCCACACTTTGCCGGTAACGCCCTGAAGCCTTCTCGAGGACCCATGGGTGTCTCCAGGCTGCACTTTAGGCAGAGAAGTTTATAGTCTACTTGTGGAAAAGCTCATGGCCTGAAAAGAGATTGAGTGATAGCTTGCTTCCTTCTTCGGTAGATCCTGTTGAGGGGCCTTTCAGCAAAGAAGTGATTCCCATATCCAAACAGGTACTTTCTCAATAACAACTTATCTCAAATATATCATCTTAAATGCACTAACTCAGAAAGTATACAGGTTATAAAGTAACAGGTATTTTGTCAGAGTGGCCTTCATCTTCTTCATGATGTTATAGAATTAAGGCCGAATTTTCTTACACGTGCCAGAAGCAGTTGACCAATCACGACAGAGTGGACCAGCTGGCCAATTAGAGCAAACAGGGCTTCATCGGGAGGGGGGGCTTAAAGAGACAGGAGCTACCAAGTGTTTCAGACAGAGGCTTAAAAGAGGAGCTGCAGCAATGGACAGTTAGAGGAAATGTTTGCCTTTATCTGCCTGAACATTAGAGCATGTAATAACCCAAATTAAAATCATAAACCTGAACCTGAGCATAATAAGTCTCCTTTAAATCATAAATAGGATTAGATAATCAATTTGAATTTGCTCAAAATAGGAGAAATGTGAAAGGAATTAATATGAAGCCAGTTTTAATTGTTTTCCACAAATCCACAGGGTGTGTGAGAAGAACGTACCATGGTGAAAAATATGGAAATGTTATACTGATGATTGGATTTAATTCAATTTATAGACCCCTGGTGTTTTCAGTGTATCAGAAAATACGCTGGTCTGCTGTTACAGCTAATGTACAACATGCTTGATAACATGCAACTTTGAGTATTCACTGTTGCCACTGCTCAACTTACATTCACTTTGTTCATGTTGTCCATTACTGACTATGCTCCCATGTAAAAACAAATACATGCTGTTGATATAAAAGTCTCACTTCACTGGTACAACATGCTCTCCTCAAAGGGTTTGAAAGCTTTTAACAACTAACAACACAGGCAGCTGTTTGTGACGGAACACACTCACACACTTTGGGTTATTACTTTGACAGGTTTGGACTGATGCAGGTTTTCGAAGGCCATTACCAAAACTTTTTATAATGAAAGAGTACTCCAGCAATCTAGTATTGCACTTCTGAAAATTGAAATACTTTCAGGAGACAGATTAGAACAAATGTATGCTCGAAATTTAATTTCTGCAATGCAACATGATAGCGTCTTTCATTAGACATTCCCAGCCTTCACATCTCACAAACTCCGCATCCCAAGTTTGTCACACACATTTCAAACCTATTTAAATTGTCTGCGTTGCTTATCTTTACCTGTGCTATCTGGGAGTATGTGTAAATCCTTCCGTTTTGTAGTGAGGATTAAGTTAGAATCATGACCAGCTGTAAACAAAGAGTCAATCTCCCCCTACAAAAATGACACTTCATAAACAGCAAATCCAAGTACATTGTTCGAATGACAGATGATTTCTGGAAAATGTAGACAGCACTTTGTATTAATGTGGAGGGAAAAAAATGATCTTGCAGTTTAACACCTTAAGCATCTTACTGAAGAAGTTTAGCCACATGGGGGATCAAACCCCTCTATTAAACCTGACTGACCTGAGCTATGCCGTCACTGAGGTCCATTAACGCCAAAACATTTTTCACTATAAAGCAAAGGTGACAAGATAAGACAAAATCTTCCTCTGGATTTCTTTCTTTTTCCCTGAGGTAGGCTCTTGCACCTAAATCAGTAAATAAAATAAAGGATTATTTAATGCTGCCTGACTGTCTATCTTTAAACTCACTTAAGTCCTGTTCACCTGTGCCCTACAAATCTTTGAATGTGTGTCTTCTTCTCCATTATAAAAAAATGAGATCCATTCTGCAGTATTAGGATGAAATGTCTCAATAAGGGCATTTAGATCATCTTCTGATAACTCTAATGCTGCCTCAAATAAACACCAACACACTGTGTCAATTTCTTGATCTCTTCTCTGCCACAGAGGCAGATATTGCCGGTCAGGCTTTAGCCTGTCAGAGAAGCCACAACTGCATCCGAATCAGAGCGTCGAGGCTGCCAAATAAAACGACACTGGCTGTGTCCTCAAGGCTGATAAGGTGAGCGCTGTGGGCGTCATGACACCTCCACGTCTCAGGGATGGAAAGGCTTCACATGTAAAGGCAAGCTTCGCACTATTCATCCAACTATCCTGCGTTTCCACTGCTTACCTGAAAACCTAGAACTAACACTTGTGTTTTAAGGTCAGTGAAAGACTCTGTGGTTAAACAGTAACCTGAAGACTAGGAAGCTGAGCAGAGGTTTGACTGTGCATAGTCTTCAGTGGGATGTTTTATTTGATCAAACAAATGCTTATATAGGAGACAATGATCATTTTGTCATTATCAATAAAGTAATCACTACTTAATGAGTCGATAGTACTATACTTGTTTGCGCTTTCAAAATTCTGATCGTATTCCCAATCATGGCTCTTTTAGCAGCAGCGTGACAATGACCATCAAAATATTAAAAAATAAGACTGTCATTGATGCCTGCTCTCATCATAACCCCCCTGCTCCAAACATGCTTTTATTTTGGTCTTGATTAGTACATTACATCAGGTACATAAATGTGTACAATAGGCCTTTTCAAACTTTAACCTTTTCAAACTTTAACCTCTCTCTCTCTGATAATCTCATTGCACCTGATGATGAAGGATTTCTGGGTTTTTAGGCTAAAAAGACGCACAGTGGAACTGGCTTGTTAATGCTGCTAATGAAGTCCTAGCAGGCTTCATCTACCCCCACACTGCAGTATGCACACCACAGGCTGCTGTTTTGGTTTCATGTGCATCTCTCCAGCTTTTGCACTAACAGGGCTACAGTGACATTTCCCTTCCCTGAACCACTGATCTGTTCTGGTGGCTGTAGCTAGGTTGCCTGTAGGACACAGGCCAATCAGGATCCAACATCTGAGGACAATATAGAGGGTGAATCTATTGGCTAAAAGGGCTCTTACTTTAAATCTTCTCCCAACATTGTCGCCATACCCTCAGGCACTGTGGAGAAACTAGGCCCTCTTGCATCAGTGCTCACCCACACACCCTGCAGCCTGCTGTATTCTACAAACTGTTGATGGGAAGATTTATAATAATGCAGATCAAATCAGAATGAAGGTATTGATGAGGGTCTTGCTGCTGTTTTGGACCCCTCCTCTTCAAACCTGCTCTCACCGTGACAGCAAACAGCAGGTAGGCTGATGACTGTACCTCAGCCCCGCAGCTCTTCTCCAGCCACACAAACCACCTCACTCCGGCTCTCATATGATCAACATTGCTTTAAATTCCCATCGACACACTGTAAACCTGTGTGAATCGCACACTTGATGCTCAGATTGTTGTTGAACGGCCTCGTATCGCTCATAGTTCATTACCTATTTATGGCTCCGACACACACCTTCGCAGGCTGGATGCTGCAGAAGCCGAAACCCTCGCAGCCGATACACAGCTACGATATATATATATATATATTTGTATATAGAAACACACAGGGCGATCAAACGAGCCATCGGACCGTGTGTTGGAGCCGATGATAAAAACACGAGTCGCTGTAAAGGCTCAGCCTCTGCGGGGCTTCACCGCCACAAATCGCCCAGGCCTCTTCAGCAATTAAGAATTGACGGGTAAAGCGAGGAAACACACACACACACTCACACACACATACACACACCACCATGTTTATCCAAATATTGCTCGAGGATGATGGCATTTACCTTCCACAGTTGCAGTGACAGACGCGGTCCTCCCCTCGTAGATGCGGTAGGATGTAGTTGTGAAAGCGGTCCAGTAGTGCGTTCATGTCCATTAAACAGGCTATCGCCTGCAAAGAACCATGCCAGTCAGCTGGGACATGTCAAGCAATAGGCAAGGCTATATTCCTACAGACAGCGAATCAATCTTCTTCTCAGGATTATCAAGATACACAACAACAGGGAGGGAAAATCATAAAGAAAGGGACAGAAAAAACACATCCTGGGTTAGATCCTCCCGATTCTAAGAGGGGGGACTCTTGCCTCAAAACGGAATTAGATTATTTATTGATGACAGCAGGTAATTATAGGTGGGCTAACCTACTTCCACATGTCATTGATAGGCCTACTGGAAGGTGGTGTGTCGCCAGAATGTGATGCATTAACGGCACATTTGTATCAATCGGATTAAATATTAGCCTCAGTGATGTGAATTAGAAAAAACACACTGTGGCTGAGGGAGGTGATGAACGTGTCTTACCATTACAACTGAAGCACCAAGAATCATAAAAATCATGGTGGTTGTGATCATATGCATCAAAACTTCCAAACTGGCCGCCGTCCTGTGGCCCGGGTCTTTTTCTACCCGCGGCGGCGGAGACGCTCCGGCTGCAGGGCTCCTCTGGGCGCTCTGTCCCGGCAGGAGCCGCTCATGGAGCCGCTGCACCGCTCCTGGCTCCCCGGGTCCCTTCGAGCCGCCCGGTCCCCCTCCGTCCCTCCGCAATCGAGCCGCTCTCTCAGCCCCTCAATGCGCCCTCTCCATCCAAGGGTTCCCCCCACCCACCCCGCGCTGTGTCGGCTGCGGCTGCCGCTCGCTCCGAGGAGGCAGTCCTCTAATTACCGATGCAAAAGTGATCCGTTCTTCCAGGCGCCTTGTGATCTCTATCCCGGTTAGAAACCCATGAAGAAAAGAGAGATGTGCTCCTTCTATATATCCTCTACAAGGCTCCCCTCGGTATCCTCTCCGTCCTGCTCCAAGTTATTCCACACCGGGGCTGCGCTTTTAGTCGTACCGGCGATGTCTCTCCTCCTCCATGGGCGAACACGGTGGATTTCTCTCGGCCCGGACGTCTCAAACAGCGGCACAAACTCCTCTCTCGGTCATCGCGCTCGTTAACATCGACATGAGGTCCGGATCGCTCCAGAACTAGACCCACCCAACGCACCGAGTCCACTCCGGATCCAGCTGCACCAATGCCCGAAGCCAGACACGCATGATTATCCCATCCTGGCTCCCAGCAGCTACAAGAGCATCCACTCCCACCCCTGGTGCACGTGCGTGTTTCTGCGCGTGCGTGTGTGTCAGAGAGAAGGAGGGAGGGAGAAAGTGTGTGCTCGTGTGTGTGTGTGTGTGTGTGTGTGTGTGAGAGAGAGAGGGGGGGGGGGGACTGGCCTATAGGCTCATTATTTATAGTGGATACCTGTAGATACACAGGAGCAGGCTTCATGAATGGTACTCTTCATGATGATCCAACCTCATTAGGCTTAACCCCTTTTATCCCCCAGTTACACACAACCTTGTACTTGTATTCTACTATAGACACCCATTGGCAAAAAAGCACTCCCTCACAAAGATATCTGTACACACACCATAAGGAAGAAAAGTCCCCATGACATGACCATGTAAACAGATTTACTTCTGCATAACATGCAGAGACCCAAATACACAAATCTTTCTTTCAAATTCTCTTACAGACAATATCATGCTCCTTCTGCCCCCACTATCCTGCATGTTTAATGTCCAAAGTGAGTCTGAGATACACATTTTATCTTCTTTTGGAATATAACCCACATGAGTTGTGTATAAAATAAGCTTTAAACACTCCACACTGGTGTTGTCAGGCGGTAATTCCCCCCCAAACCTGCAAATCGTGATAATTAGACAACAAAGCTCACTGAGGAAGGCACACTTTTTTGGAGATTTTGATTGATAGGATTATATTTTTTGCCATGGGATTTTTGTCCTGCATTTTAACAATAAATAAATGGTAAAATGTTGCTGACCTGTCCCATAAACTATGAACCTGAGAAGAAATGTCAAGATACAATTCAGGCCGACAGTTCCCACAAGCATCAGGTACTTCCTGTAGTAAGCAAACTAATCAGCCTCACTCTTTTCACAAATTAACAATTTGACAGAGAAGTGCTTCGTGTTAATTCACAATATCACTGCCGTGAACAGTGATTTACATATGTCTCAGCACCATGGACAGCGCCCATAAACTAGCCTTCTAATGTGGAACACATTTTCTGAATCTGATTCTATTCTTTATTAATGTGTGGGGCTGGGTTGCAGACTTCAAAAACATCTGCTGTTGTTACCCAATGCCCCCCTATAGCCGTTCTAACCAACCCCAGTGAAGAAAACACAGCCAAGCTTTGCACCAGTGCAATAGAGTCTCATTACAAATCGAATGGGGGGAAGAATGAACCTAATATAAATGTTTCACCATAAATTAGGGACCTTAAACCAGAGCAGTAACATACAGCTACAAACACAGGGTTGATAGTGGGTTTACAGTCTTTCTCACTTATGAAAGTGGCCAGTGCTCCAAGTAGTTGCACAAGCAATCAAACAGAAAAGGGCATCTTCGCTGATAAGGCCACTTTTGTAGCAATGCTTGTGATAATAATTAGGTTCACATTAAAAGGGCAGGTTTAATTATTGGATTGTATCTAAACATGCAGGTTTATTTGTAGAGATTCCCAGATATTTGTTTCTTAGATTGGTGCTGCCATCCAGTATGATTGACTGAAATATTAGACGGTTTAAAAAAAATCAAGTGGTTTTCTTTTGAAAAACTGTCCTATATACTCTGGAATAAACCACAACAGTTTCCATGGAACTAATTTAAGAAATAGTCCCAGAGAAAACCTCCTGAGGTTTGTCAATTATTGACAGTAACTCAGGGATTTTGTTGTTGGAGAGACACTTTGCGTTTTTCAAATATCTTGATTTAATTTGAGAAATGAAGTTTACTTAATCTCAACTGTATGTAGATGTCAGGAGGTTTTTTCAGATATCTGATGTAACATGTTCTGTAACTACCTTCATGGATAGATATCAGTAAATGAGAAGTTTAAATAAGGTGAACTAACCCTTTAAAGTATTCTTTTATGTGGGTACTTGCAGTAATTTACCTCCTGAGGGCTGTCACCTTTAATAAAATCACAACATTTACCAAAATCTACCAATATTTGCATTTGGTTGCATGGAAAATGTTCTTCTGCTAAACTGGGAGTGGCCAACTGGGAGGAAACATCTCCCACTTGATCTCAGCCCTAAACAGCTTCAGCTGTTCTGAAATAACAGAATTTTGTATGTTGAAGCAGTTAGTTTAACAAAAATATACTTTTCGCCATTTTACATTTTCTCAGTGTACCATGATATTTCCTCGTGTCGGATATTAGCACAAATCAGGGGGTTAGGTATGAATTATAACCACAGTTTTGAAGATGGTAATTATACAAATAACCTTGTGCCATGGCAAAGAAAATATTTGAGCATGTCAGTGCAGTATAAACATATGCAGCCTCAGTAAAATACTTTATTAGTGTCTATTTTAGCTTCAGGCCCTTCCCATAGCATAATGATTTGAAGTACCTTGTTCGACTCTCATTCACACACAAACGTATTGTACATATACAGTATAAATGATATGTTGTTCATGCTTGGCTGATTTCTGTGTTCCACTCAGGTGACAGACGCTGATTGCAGCACATGCATGGATGACCTCCTGGGTCATTACATCTGCTCACACACAATGCCATCACTCACCAAGGTCTATAATGAACCACATGCCAACACACATTTGCAGATGTGTGTCCTGTTTCTTTCACACCAGCTGGCATGGTGCAAATTAGTATTTGGTTTTATAGGAAATGGAATAGTCTTACGACGTCCTCCTGTTTTCTGATGCAGTTTTATGTCTCCAGGCAATTTTTTTGTATCAGTGCGTCTGCTGGTTTATTTCACGTAGCAAACATCCTGTTTATTGCTTCTCAGCTCACTCCTCCCCCACACGCACCAACTGTGTGGAGTCATCAGGAGGAGTTGGTGGTGGTGACTAGATTTTCTCAGATTTGTGGAGAGGTGGAAATGCAAAAATTTCTTTCAGAGTTGTAACTGTAACCTCCTACTTTGTCCTGACTCACAGTCTACAAAATAAAATGACTCAGAGCACCTCTACTCATGCAATTATTGAATAGATAGATAGCTGGATAGATAGATAGATAGATA